GTATTTGGAAAAGAGAAAAACACCTGTTGTCAAAATACTCTTGAGATTTTAATGATTATCCACAAAGGAGGGCCTTGGGTGAGGAAATCTGCTCTAGAAATTTCTATACTCAGGATTTTTGAACAATGCTGATTAATTTATAATCCAGTAATTTAAAAAGGTGTGTGGGATGAGGTATTTAAAAAACTCAAGGAAAGAAAAGACAAATACAAATACAGAGAACCCATCAAACTATTCTCATAAACTCATGCATTGTTGCTCGTGGTATTCACGGAGTTGTTGGGAGTGTTCTTCCAGAACTAGAGATGTTTTAGGAGAAAACTTGGGTTTACGCAAAAAATAGGATAGGAATTGGAACTGAAGAGGGATTTAGGAAAGGTGGAAATTTAAAATGGATATCCTAAAAGCTCCCATAGGAGCAGAGGTGGCTTTTGAAGATGATAAATTTAAGCTTGGCATGTATGTTTGCATAGAATGGATTAATAGCTCTGTAATTATGTGTAAGAATACATTTGTATATGACTCACATGCCTGTATGATTATGTAAAATTTGATGTGTTCTTTAAACCTAAAGCCAAGTGTACATGAAGGATCAACATTTGTGAGGATGTGCCTTTAAAGGCATTTAAGACTATTTCCCAGCCACTTCGTATTTGATTTTTTAATAACTGTTCTGCAAGAATTATGTTATTTTTATTAATTTTTAAAAAATGAAATGAGGTAAAACCACCTTTTTAAAATAATAGACTTTATTTTTTAGAGCAGCTTTAGATTCACAGCAAAATTGAGTGTATAGTACATGTGCCCCCACCCTCAAACACAGCCTCCCCATTATCAGCCCCCACCTTCCAACAGAGGCACATGTGTTACAATCGATGAACCTACATTGACACGTCACTAACACCCAGAGTCTATATTACATTAGGGTTCATTTTTGGTGCTGTACATTCTGTGGGTTTGAACAAATGTATAATGACATGTATCCACTATTGTAATTGTAGAGTCTCATACCCTAAAAATACTCTGTTCTGCCTAGGCATCCCTCCCTACCCCACCCCTGGCAACTAGGAATCATTTTACTGTCTCCATAGTTTTGTCTTTCCCAGAGTGTCATATAGTTGGAATCATACAGTATGTAGCCTTTTCAGACTGGATTCTTCTACTTAGTAATATGCACTTAAGATTCCTCCATGTCTTTTCATAGTTTGATAACTCATTTGTTTTTAGTGCTGAATATTGTTCCATTGCCTGAGTGACTGCAGTTTATTTATCCATTCACCTACTCAAGGACATCTTGGTTGCTTCCAAGGTTTGGCAATTATGGATAAAGCTGCTATAAACATCCTAATTCAGGTTTTAGTATGGACATAAATCTTCACCTCATTTGGGTATATCCTAAGGAGTATGATTTGCTGGATTGTATAGTAAAAATGCATTCAGTTTTATAAGAAACTGCAAAACTACTTTTATTGAGAAATTTAGGACCCTTCCTGATAGAGGTAGAGAATCTGAAGTTACCAAGACACCAGAATTGGAAATTGGTGATGAAGGAAAGAGCATTGAAGATCACTGTGCAACCCAGTCTTTTATCTGGAGAAGCATGGAGGCCATCATGAGTGAAATAAGTGCCTTTGTACAAGACAGTTGGAACTAAGCCATGCTTATGGCCAGGAATGATGGCCTTTATTCACAAGGAGGTAGAGTCCTGTGCAAATCTTGGGCTGGATGACTTGAGTGCTGATAACACTTTTAAATAATTAAATTGTGAGGCACTTGCAAGAGTAAACCATGCTTGGACCCAATCTTTGGTATTAAAATCAGGAGGTACTTATACTTTGGAGCTTTTAGAAGCCAGTAGTAAATACAAAGCTAATTGATTTAAAAAAAAAAAAAAAAAGACTCCAAGAGAGAAATTTCCCCTCTGCCATCTTGTTTCATGAGTTCATGGAAACTCCCATTACACAGTGCCTCACAGAAAAGACATGCCAAGGAAATTGACTTGACAGCTTTCAGTCAGCCAGAGTAACTTTTTTTTGCTCACTCTTAAAACAACCAGGTTTTTGAGCCATGAGAAATAAAATGGAACCATCTAATTTATTATTGTAACTGCAGTTTTGAAGATTCAAACACCTGAACTGCATTGGACAGATATTTATTGAATGACTGTTAAATGCACATGCTGTCCTTGAGTCCCTCTAGAGTGTACCAGAAAGGTATGAGCTACCTTATATAAGGCTTGCACATCTACTGTCTTATTTAACAACCCAGTAAGATAGTTGAGGCAAAGATTCTGACCATCTGTGCCTTTCCTTGAGAAAACAAAGCCTTGTAGAGGTTCACTGATATTCCTGTGGTTACCTGACTAGTGCTTAGCAGATCGTGAGCTAAAAACCTCAAACTGCTCATTTACTATGGGCTGTATCAGGTGGGATTGGAATTCCTGCTCCACCACCCTAATTAGTTTTGCTACCATAGTTGGTTACTTAACTCACCAACCTGGTTTCTCAACAGCAAAATGGGCAAAAAAAAAATGTATATATATATATATGTATATATTAAGTACTTCAGAGGGTTCTTATATGGAAAAGGTAAGATAATGCAGTAAAATTCAGTGTTTGTTATCAAGCCTCCATTTATTAATAAGTGATTATAATGATTCTCTTTTTAAAGTTACCAGCAAATTCTCTCAAGAATCAAATGCAACTCCTTTGGAAGGACCAATGTTTGATGGTTCTGGTAAAAATGCCAGTTCTTTGAGGTCAGCAAGTTAGATTCTGACAGCCTGATCCTGTATTTCCAGGATAGAAATCTGATAATCAACTTTAGTTTCCCCACCTCCACTATTTCTCTGCTCCATATAATGTCTGTATTAACGCAGGGACAATTTCCACTCCTTTTACAGTGTAGGTGTTAAAAGGCACGTGGAGAAGCAGCCCATTCATCATGTTCTGAAGAGTATCACCCCTTTCTTTCCCAGCCAGCAAAATACTGGCTGTTCTTGACTGATTTAGTCCACTGGGTGTTTTCAGGGATGAAAACGAGCTGAGATTGATGTTGGAAGGATGGGGAAGGGACTGGGAGGATCTGAGACGAAGAGCTCTGCAGAGGGGACGGCGAGCCTGGTGGTGAACGCTCTCTGTGGGGCAGGCTCTCACCATGTCTGCATGGCCTGCTGCAATGCTACTGGGTCTCAAAGCAGCTAACAGGAAGGAGTGAAATAGGTTCACTTTACATGAATCATCTCAAGGATCATCAATGATCACTTTATATGGATCATTTACAGATAAGCACAAAGTAACATGTTCTTCCAATTTTACAGGTAGGGAAACAGGCACAGAGTTTGTTCCTTGCCCATGGCCAAACAGCTAGACAGTGGCACTAGCAGCTTCGAACTCTGTCGTCTAGCTTCAGAGATCTGTCCTTAGCCTCAAGGCCAACTCTGCTGGGCACTTTAGGTCTCTCTGAAAGTGAACCATGGAACTGATAGGCTCCAGTCTCTGGTGGAAAAGTCTCTTCACTCCTCTGGAACCTCAACTTTCTTCGCCTGCAAAATGGGGATATTGATAAAGTTCCCCATCTGACCTACTTGCCAGGGGAGGGTTTGTGGAGTAGGACAGGGCATGTGTCAAGTCCAGAGCCTGGCAAGGGTCTCCCTAACCCCTTTTAACTCTTTCCCCTAGCGCTCTGGCTGGAAGTAGTTGGGACCCACGTGGGTCTGGGGCCACGGGCTTCCGGCTTTGTGCCAAGCAGAAGTGCGGGTTCCCCTTCCCGCGCCGCCGCCGGGCGCTGCGCAGAACTTGGGAGCAGGGTAGCGCCCGCCGCGGCACCATATTTAGTCAGGGGGAGCGGGCAGCCCTGGGCTGGTATGCGGCACTGGGAATTCCTGCAGGAAGGAGCCCGCGCCTGCCCTTTTTGGGTTGTCTCCCGCCCAGCGGCCCCCTCTCGCCGCCGCGCCCGCCGGCCCGGAGGGAGGACCGGCCCCGCCACTGGAGCCCGTGCCGCGCGGGGAGCGGGGGCCCGGCTGCCGCGGGTCCCCGGCCTGGCGCGGGGCCAGCCCACCGCCTCGGCTGCCTTTTATGGCCCGTGTGCGTGTGTGCGCCAGGGAGAGGGATGGGGAGAGGAGGTGAGCCCGCGCGAGAGCGACGAGATGAGGAGAGGGACGGAGAGCGGCATGCAGAGTGACAGAAAAAAGGTAGAACAAGACAAAGAAGAGATGGAGACACGGCGTCAGACATACAGGGGGTGGGGAGGGAGTCAAGTTTTAGGCAGCTTCTACATTTGCAAGAATTTCTTGGAGGGGGGAAGGATCGTTGAAGGGAACTCCGAGGGCGGGTGACACCCACTTTTCTTTGGATTCTGACATACACCTTACAAATAAAAAACACACACACCTTCACCCTGTTTGTCAGCTGCAGACCTGAGGCTCAGAGAAGGGAAATGACTTGCCCGAGGTCACGCAGCCAGCGAATGGTATATCTGGGGCCTGAAGTCACAACAGCATTTTTTTGTTTTGTTTTTTTTTTTGCATGTGAAAGTAGGGATGACAAATTGGGAAAAGTAAAAACTTCCCCTTACCGCATAATTCCCAGCAGTCGGGACTCCTGCCTTACACTTCGTAAAGTTCAAAAAATCCCCTTTCCCTACCTTTCACGCTGCCAGGCCAGCCCCCCTTCCTAACAGTGGGAGGCAAATGGGGAGTGGGGCGGGGAGGTGTCAACTCAGACGCTCCACAGTTCCTCGCGTGGGTAGGAAGCCGTTAAAGCCCATGGGTCTGGGACAGACTCGGGGAAGAAATTCTCAAGCGTCCCCTAGAGACGTTGACTGCTCGACCCCTCCTCTCTCTAGGGACCCCGAGTCCCGGTGACAGTCCTTGAGGCGGGGTGGGACCCCGGGCGGCTGCGCCACTGCCGGCAGGTGCGCCGGGGACAGCCAAGAACCTCGCGAGTCTCGCTTCCTGCAGGGGGCGCTGCGGAGGAGCAGAGCGGGACCATCCCCCACAATGTCCCCCTCCCCTTTCCCACTCGCGGGCAGCTCTGGGCCTATAAAGAGAGGCGTCGGAGGCTAGCAGGAGATTTGGACGCCCCTGCCTGGGAGGTGTGGCAGGTCTGAGCTCTCCATCCGATTGCTTCTCCGTTATATCCCAGTTGGAGATCTGTAAGTAGTGTGGTATTGGAGGTGGTGGTGCAATTGGGTAGGAGGCTTGAGAGTCCTACGAGGGATCTTACAGGGGCCGGGGAGCCTTGAGGTGTATCTCTTGTCATCCTTTTAAAGACTACAGTGAGAAGGTGCGGAGTCACAATTTTCATTTTTCTCTGCCCCATCATCCATGATTTGCCCAAACCAACATCTTCTTAAAAATAACAATGCCTGGAACCAACTCCAGGTACTCTAGAATCTCCAGAAAACCTGTACCTAAAAAAAGGAAAAAAAAAAAAAGAGGATCGCAAGTGATTCTTGTAACGCAGCAAATCTGAGAGATGTGCTGCTCTAGAAATCTCAGGGGTCCAGCTTGCACAGGCTTCTGATTTCTAGGCACAGGGGAAGTGCAGCTGAACTTCATTGAAAAGTCATTTACAATCACACAGGCAGGCAAAGTAATGCTCCAAGTGGATTTGGAAGCATTACTTAATCCTGTTGATGCTGTGTTATATCAGTTAAAAACACATGGGCTCTGTGGAAAGGGGAGTGTTTTTTATCAGTTTAGAGTATGTGCTTGTTGGTAATCCTGCAGAGATGAGGCTGGTTATGATCCAGTTCATTTATTACAACCCAGGGTTTTTCCCAGACATCCCCTGACACCTTCTCCAAATAATAATAAAAAAAAAATCTCAGCCATGTTGATTCCAGGGGACTTAAATATCTAGACAGATGTAAAAGTTCCCATTTATATCCACGAACTTCAGGTGTATTAGGTAAGATTGCGCTGGGTTTCCTGCAAGATGACTCATGCGCCACAAAGTGGGCAAAGTAAAAAAAAGCATGGCTATTGCCTGCTGTAAGTTTTCTCCCTGCAGAGAGCTGGTAGGGATTCTGCTGCTTGAGGAAAGGCACCATTCAGAACCATACTTATCAAGAAGTTCAATAAAATATTTGGAAACCCAAGACAATAAGTATTTAGTTATGGTACTCAGAACTGACAGATTAAATTGCACACTGGCCAGGGTTTGGTAAAGGAAGACAGGCTGATTGCTAGTAAAGAGGTTTGCAAAGTTTTGTTTGGTGCAGGTTTCTTGATTGGTTTGGCTTCCTTAAAGATACCCTTTTAGAATTTTTTACAGAGAGGGAGCTTGAAGATGCTGATCTGGAGGTCATTAGATGGCAGTGTGTAAATTAGGATATTGAATGTCTGTGGAAGGAGCCTTTCCTTGATGCTCTCCCATTGGGATGGCTGTCATCAATGGAATACTTACATTCCATCACTGTAGCCATGTTTGACTTAATTCATCTCAAATTATCAGCGCAACAAACTTCTAAGGGAAACATTGTGATATGCCTGTTTGGTATACAAGGCAGCTGAGGCTCAGGTTCAGTAACCTGCCTAGTGTCACACAGCTAGCAAGTAGTGGAACCCGTTTCTGGGGGTCTGTCTGATGCCAAGGCTATAGGCTTTACCCCACCATCTTTAGCCTTTACCATGAATAAAAAGTCCCTGTTGGAGTCAGATTTCTGGTGGAACCAATTGCTTTCAGAAAGGCAAGTGTTTATCATCTTCTCTTTGAAGAAAACAAGCTGACCTTTTGTGAATTTTAACTGCACAGTTTGTCCCCTGGTGATGGGGTAATCTAGTTGGAGCCAATGACCTTAGGTGGGCCGCCATCCCAAGGGTCCAAAATGTGGACTAGCTGGGCCTTGCTCGTGAAGCATCTGAGGCTTGCCTTGTAAACACCATGTTTTTTTATTGTCATGTCTGAAATGGACGTGTTATGCCGTACAAGGTACTTGTTATGGATTTGTTATCATTACTTTTCTGTGCGAGGGCTGAGATTGAGGCAAACATGCCCATTTATGGTAGCGTTTTCCATGCGGCCATCCCTGGCCCCTTCACAAATGAGTATGTATTGCAGCTGTGACTCTGGGGATTTCTCTGCCTTTGTCCTTCCCATTTGGGAACAAGTGGAGGAACCCTTGAGAAGACATGTGGGATGAAAGAGGGTTTACTTTTTCCTATACCTCTCTTATTTTGAAGTTTTATTTTGAGGGAGAAGTTTGTCTCCTCCTTTCTGCAGTACATTGGATTCCAGCAGGTAGATTTTATGCTGTTGGAATTCTGAAATCAGATATACTTGAGACTTTTCTGGAAAACCAAGTCCAGTTTTAAATCCACTGGTGTCATAGAAGTGAGTTTAGAAATCATCCCCATTGGGCCTCCCAAACCTCAGTTTTCCCATCTGTAAAATGGCGCTGAGAATAGCTAATGCTTGCTGAGCACTGTTGCTGGGCTGTATGCAAAACCCTGACTGGCATCATCTTACAAAGTCTTCACAACAACCCTTTGGAGTATATACTGTTCATGAGCCTGTTTTGCAAGTGTGGCAGCTGAATAACTGGCTCAAAATAGCTCGAATGGCCAGTGAGGAAGATAGAGTTCTGCAAATCCAGTACTAACTCTACAGCCCAGAGAATTAGCCTCTTGGGAGGATTAAATGGGATAATGTATACAAAGTGTTTAGCCTAGTTACTGGCTTCTAGTAAACTTCCATGGATAGTTCTTTATACCTTACATGACCAGAGACCTTAAGGACCTTGCTCAATGTGGCACAGCTGGTACTTGGGAGAAGGAGGAAGCCTATTGCATGGTCTTTCTGTAAAGGAGAACCTTGCCCCTAATTTACCTTTTGTGTAATCTCTTCTCGTAAACCAATTCCTATTTGGGCAAGAGGTGGTGATCAGAATCTTCTTCTACTTTAGCCATACTTCCTCACTGGTGCCAGGAATATTACAAATTCCTGTTATATTGGCTCATTTTTTATTCATTCAGGGTGGTGATGGCATCCTTTAGGAGCTCACCTGGGAGCCAGAGCAGCCTGTCTAGCTTTCACAGGGCTTTTCTTCTCCCTGGGGCCTCCTCCCTGTACCCCTGGCCTTTACCCATGGCCACATGAGGGAAGGAAGGCTGAGTTTGGAGAAGGCCAAGCAGGAATTGGGAGTGGCTTTTGCAAAGGATCAGACAATGGAGGAAGAAACTAGTGCTGCTCATTGCTCCTTCAGGGGAGAGTCCTCTATTTCTTGACTTGCATCAGTGATTCAAGGGCTTGGGAGGAATAGCCCTCATCACCTAAGAAAAGGCCATAGGACTTGCCTCTTGCTTATTCATGCCGGCTTGAACTTCCATGTTGACAGTGCCCATTCCTCCCCACCCCTGGTGAAGCAAACCATGCAGTGAATGACATGGAATCTCAGTAACGGCCAATGTCTGAGACCACCCGGGAGCATTATAGCCATTCCCCAGTCTCCAGGTAGAATGCCTTCTTCCCTGGTCCCCTGCTCGCCACCTCTAGATGTAATCACGGTTAATGTATTTTTGTATCTTTCCACAAATCTTCTATGTCAAACCTGCTTTTCTTACATCAATATTGGCATTGTTAATTAGTATTTTCACTTAATTATGTGTCTTCTATATCTTTCTATATCAGCATGTGGCATTTTTCTATCAGCTGCAAGATACTCTGTTATTTGGAGGATAGCCTCTCACTGTTGAAACAACCCCTTACTGAGATGTACCAACTTCATCATTCCAGCTGGAGGGTTATGTTCTAGATCCTGCCCAGAGGGCTTTCCTTTTGCCTGCGTGGCATTTAAAATGTGCCAGGATTTAACTTTAGGGTTGGGTATTTTGTACCTCAATTCAGACTTCTGAGTCTGTTGGCTATCTGGCAATGGAGGGCCCATGTTCTCTCACTAGGGGACACCAGCGGGCATCAAGGAGCTGCCATCCTCATTGGGCAGAGCAAGGAGGGTCTGGGTCACGCTGCCTTGTTCTCTTGACCCCTGGGCATTGTATTTGCCTCTCTGGCCCAAAATCTTGAGCCTGTGGCTTACCTGAGTCAAATCCTGAGGGAAGCTGTCAACCAGGCCTGGTGATATGCAAATCCTGTACTGTTAGACTGGGCCCTGGGATATTTTATTCATTTTTCATTAATGCAGAAGCAGAAAGGGTAAGATCTTTTACCCCTGAGTTTCCCCAGGGAAAATAAAATCTATGCTAAAACAAACTTAAGCAGCTGAACATGCTCAATTGGTCCAGTCTCAGCCCTTTGATCCAGAATCACAAATACAATAAAATGTTATAGTGAGGCGAGCCTACCACTTTTTTCCCCAAATGGAAAACATAAGACCTAGCGAGGGACAGTGACTTGCCCAGAGTCACTTAGTGAGTTTGGAGCAGAACTGGGACTTGTAACCCTGTGGTCTTAATGGAGGCTAATGGGCAGCTTGCTTATGCTCAAAGCATGAAGCTGTGTGTGGTTTTAAGGGAGCCAGGACTGTGCTCACGACTGACACGCGGCTGTGTCAAACATTGCTAACCCCAATAGCAAGAGTCCTTTGCTTCTGTAAACGTTTGAGAGCAGCCCTTGATCAGTGAGTTGTCCTTAGTATCCATCAGTCCTGTGTGATAATCCCTGAAATGTCCTTTCAGCCTTGGGAGCTGATTCAGGACATTGGACAGGGGGCTGGTAGAGGAGGGGGCTTGGAGAGGGAAAAACAAGGTGGGTGGGGAGTCTCCTGGGGGTTCACCAGGCATCTTTCTGATGTGATATGCTCGCCCTTGCTCCACCCGTGTGATCTGCAGTTGGCATTCCAGGTTGGCATTGACCGAGTGGTTACTGTTCTGTCTTGTGTTTCCCAAGAGAGCCCTAGCTTTTACTCTAAAGCAATAGTTCTCATTGGGGCCAATTTTGCCCCTCCCCCTGCCCCCTCCAGGGGACATCTGGCAATGTCTGGAGGCATTTTTGGCCATCACGATGTGGAGGAGGGGTAGCTACTAGCATCTAGTAGGAGGAGACCAGGGGGGCTGCTGAGCACCCTGAAGAGCACAGGGAGCCCACCTCCCTGCCTCCCCTACCAACAAAGAGTGATCCAGCCCCAAATGTAAATCGTGACCAGGTTGAGAACGCTGCTCTAAATTAGGGACCACAGCAGGGAGCCACAGACCA